GTAGATTCACCTATGGATAAGGCTTTAAATTGATGAACTAAATTAACGGGCTAAACGTGCTTAAATTCAGGCACTACCGCAGTTAATTTTATGCATAAAGTTCAACTTAATAAGGAACTAAATCCATTCTCAAACTATGCTTTCTAAAGGCATAATAAAATGCATAATAAATCGCATAATATAAAATAAAATATTATGCTTAGAACAGATATGCATAAAATTAAATAATAAACTCATATATTCTAAATAAATTGCATAATTGAAAACAATTTTAATATGAGCAATAACCTCAAGTATACAATTAATATTCAAAACAAGTATGACTTCTAACCAAAAGAAATCCAAAATTTGAATAATAATATAATAGATATATACTTTGAAAGGTTAAAAACTATACGCCCACGTGAAAATGTTTTAATTGCATAAAATCAAATTTGTGAGAAACAGTTCACAAATATCAAGCCATAGTATATGTTTTATTCGTAAATAAAAAACTCACAAATTCTAATTGCATAATTAAACTTTATATTATGCACTTAATGTGATTAAAAGCATAAAACAATCTAACAAATATGAAAAACACCAAATGTGTTTTCAATTTTTCATTCTTAACTAAATGTGGGCAATAACATCTAAAATCATAATTCAAGTACTAAATAAATTATGGGATAGATTTACAATAATGCATAGAAAACATGTTTTTCCAAAATTCTGAATTGATTAAAAAAATCACTCTCCAAAACTCAATTAATAGTATTATTAATGGCATAAAACTGCAAATAAACCAAAAAAGCAATAAATAGCCATAATAATATTATTATGTTAATTTGGAGACTAAATATGGAAAAACAATAGTTAAAACTGTTAAACTTTAAAAACATTTTCGGATATAACTTTAAAACTTAATACAACTTAAGTCAAAAAAACGATGCAAAATTTTGGAAAGATTTCGGATGCAAAATTGTTCACCGAATGTTGCTCCTATTGCAAAAGGGGATAAGTTTAGTTTGGACCAATGTCATAAGAACGACTTGGAAAAGGAGTTTATGAAGGATATTCCATATGCTGAAGCGGTTGGATGTCTTGGCTATATTCAAGTTTGTACAAGGCCCGACATTGCCTTTGCCGTCGGTATGTTAGGGCGGTACTTGCATAATCCGGGCAAGGACCACTGGGGAGCTGTGAAGAGAGTTCTGGGGTATCTCAAAGGTACTAAAGACTTCAAGTTGGGTTTTAGGCAGACGGACATCCTGGATGTTGTTGGTTATTCTAATGCGGACTTCGCTGGCTGTGTTGATTCTCGGAGATCAACTTCCGGGTACGTCTTCATATTAGGCGGTGGGGCTATTTCATGGAGAAGTGTTAAACAATCCTTAATAACTACTTCTACCATGGAAGCCGAGTTCGTGTCCTGTTTCGAGGCTACTTCGCAAGGTGTGTGGCTCAAGAATTTCATCTCTGGGCTTAGAATTGTGGATTCTATATCTAAGCCATTGAAAGTTTATTGTGACAACTTAGCTGCAGTCTTCCTAGCTAAGAACGAAAAATGTGGGAGTCGAAGCAAACACATCGACATCAAGTTCTTAGCCATTAGGGAGCGTGTCAAGAATAAAGTTGTATTCATTGAACACATTAATACTGAGTTGATGCTAGCAGATCCCTTGACTAAAGGCATGCCTCCATTTAAATTCAAGGATATGATTCAGAAAATGGGACTTTCGTCCTCTTTGTAATTTTGTATATGCATTCAGTTTAATAATGAAATTCTTTTGCACTTCAGTTTTTCAGATACTTCAGACATTTTCTTTGAGTGTGTACACAATTCAGTTTATCTCAATAAGAAAATATACTTCAGTGGACTTGAAATGAACATCTGGTTTGTTTCATTAAAGTTTGATTACCTAAAGTACTCGAAGGCAATTTGCATTTGATCATAATAGATATTACTTGCGCTAAGGAGGACATATCATTGTGATTGGTGTAAATCTTGTTCTTGGGTTCCGTATTTACACCAAGTGGGAGAATGTAACGTTTTCCTTTTGTATTATTATTATTATTATTAAGTTTATTATATAATAACAATAATATTTAAGTGGTGCAAATCAATAGGCTGACTAAGTATTAGAACTTAGTCAGCATTAAGTAATTAGTTACCTACATTGATGGGATGTAGGTTATTTAGACTCCCAAGTCCTCTCACTGCTCGGTTGACGTATCATACACCTATCTAGAATCACTGAGAGAAGTGAGAGAAACACAACTAAAATCTACGGAGATTTTACAGCAGCCCGACAGGGTGGCCTGTGCTTGGTTGTCTATCTTGCCGTTAAGCTCTACTATGGCTGCCTCAAGCTTTCTAACTCTGTCCTCCATGATCGAGGAGCTCTGGTACCACTTGTAGCGATCCTAGGGTTTAGGTGAGAGAGAAGGAGAGAGATAGAGAAGAAGAGAGATAGGAGAGGAAAGAAAAGAAATTATATTTCATACTTTGCATAATCCAATCTGTATTTCATACTTTGCATAATCCAATCTGATCCACAATCCCAGTATAAATGTCATAACTCTCAAAACAATATGGGGATTCCGGCCACTAGCCCGAACGATCGTTGTGGTTTAAAGAAAACAGTTGTCGGCAGTGGCTCAAGAGTCCTCAGTGGGTTGCTTTTATTATGATTGGTTTGACCATAGTCATGCTCGGCCATGCATACCCAAAGTGACAGCTCGGGATGTTCTAGGAAAGCTTGGCGAAGCTCAAATAATTAAGTTGGATTGCTCGACCGGTAGCGATAGCCGGTGATGCTCGGTTCTTCTTCAATTTAGTGCGAGCGGAATGATGCTCGCATATGAAACTGTGAATCTTCTGCCTGCCCTTGGCTCCTACACGATGGTCACGGTGAAGTCAGGTGATGCGGTGTGACGATGCATGCCGGCGATCGAATTGCGGATAGATCCTGTCGACTCTGACTATGAATTCGCTGGTGGTTGGGGTTCTCCAAAGGTCAATGAGGATTTATGGTGCATGCATGTTGTAAATATACTCTGATCATGGCATCAGGTTAGCAATCCAATGCATTTGCGGCGTGAAGATTAAGAACAACAGTCACCGGAGAAGCATTCCGACCAGCCCTGAGAATCGAAGAAATACACAGAATAGGACCCAAAAAACTACGGGAAACGCGGTCTTTTATCGCGCTCCCCACAGACGGCGCCATTTGATATCGTTTATTCAACTCGCGTATGCAAAGTGTATATTAATGATGTATAATGTGTAGAAATTATATGAACAAAGGATAGAAGATCCCATAATGAGGTATAAAGAAACTCTTTTATTCAATTTTGGAGTGTTTAGAGAGAGAGAGGAGGAGAGGGAAGGACCCCTATAACGAAGGGCTAAAGCCTTTTATATAGGTCAAGTAATGACAGGTTTGACTTTGATCTGTTGACCTGAGTCGGACTGTTTGATCCTGACTTGACTACGAAACAAGAGTATAGACGTACAAGGAGGTCAAATTCGAAGTATATTCCCTATCAAATATATTAAAAATGATTTTAATATTCATGGTCAACACAGCTATGTGAACCATGGTCCACACAATAATTTGCCCATCGCCTAACACCCATGTACATTAAACTTAATCCAACAAAACAATCATTATTGCATAGACTATGGTCCACATAATTGTGTGGACCATAAATAAAAAATACATTTTTAATATACTAAGGGTATATTATTTATGTACGTAAGGTACATTTTTTTAAAATACATTTTTAATATACTAAGGATATATTATTTTATATAATGTACCTTCAATACAAAATTAATGTATATTCAGTACAAAAAAATTATATTTTTAATATATTAAAAATGTACCTGATATTTATGGTACACAATAATTTGCCCAACAAAAAGTGTAGACCTTTTCCATCATGGTTGCCAATCCTTTGGTCCAAACAGCCCAATATCTTTGATGTATTTCCTAATCAAACTCAATTTTTAATACTTGTTGTCCAAGTTTTTGTGGGGGAGAAACCCTCCAGCACCCTAATAAATTCTTGTTTTGACAGCAATGTGAAAGTTTGAATACCACAAGGAATCTTCCCTAATAAGAAACTTTTAGATTGTAAAAATTTGGGTAGGATAATAAGGATTAAAAGAGGATTAAAAGAATTATTTGTACATACATATATATACGTATAACGTATACCAAATACTATAAACTTCAACATTTTACTATTTCAATATTACAGCACTAAATCATTGACTGGTTTATTCAACGAAATCAACTCAGATGTAATTTCGTAAGTTCAATTATGATAAAATTAAACTACTTCACGATTATAAATTCTTATACATCATCTAACATCAGATGTAATTATTTATATACTCTATAACTCCAAATAATTACATGAATGTTCGATCACATACACATAATTTCTTAATATTAATTTCTCTATAAATTTTTCAACAGGTCATTATGAGACCTTGACCGATCGGAATTGATAAAGGCTCTTTGTACGCAAATATGCAACATGAGAGCTAACGGGGTGACTCACGATTTTACCTCGTTCAGCGGCTCTTGGGTAGAGGTTATGGGAGTTTAAAATTAGTTTGGCGTAAGCTGAAAAACCTAATGTATCAAAGAAAACCTCCATCACCACAAAAATCAAATTGTGATTAAAAAAACTATTAAATTTAAAAATTTCAGAGAAAATAAGTGAACAAAAATAAATTAATTTGACCCTTCAAAAAATTTTTAATTTGACCAATAAATGAGACAAATTTCATAAATAATACTCTAAATTAAAAAAATCCAATGTTAAAATTGTTAAAGACAAGGAATTAGTTTGATCAATAAATTGGAATTAAAAATACAGAATAGATTATATAAAAATATCTAAGTGTTAAAATTATGATCTTTTCAAAAAGAAATAAGCGCTTGAATGAGTTAAATTGAGCAAGGGGAGAAATTTCGCGACAGTTTTTTGGGTTTTAAAATATTTGGCCCATGCAGGTCTTGAACCTGCAACCTTCACACTATTAGCATGATGCTCTAACCAACTAAGCTAATAGGCCTTTATTTAAAAATAACAATTATTTTTTTAAATACTATTGTGTTGGGCTTTTAAAACGGATTAGTACTCTCCCTTACTTTAAAAAATAAGACGAATAATAGAAACAAATTTTTCTGTCGACTATAATATAAAGTACAATTTTACTATACTAAAAATAAAATAATGTATTTTCAATACTCAAATAATGTACTTTCTTCGAATACAAGGTATATTGCATATTATATAATATTTATTTAAACTACATTATTTGTGTATTAAATGTACATTATTTGATAATATGCAAAATAATATATTTTCAGTACTCAAATAATGTATTTTCCATAAATACAAGGTATATTTTTAATATACTAAAAATACATTATTTATGTACCGAATATATATTATTTGATAGTATACAAAATAATATACTTTCAATGCTTAAATAATATACTTTTAAATAATATATTATTTTATCGACACAAGTAATATACTCCCTCTGTCCCATTTTATTTGTGCTACTTACTATTCATTGGTCAAACCAACTCTTTATTCTTTGTTTATTTTCTTTAGTATTTTTTACTTATTTTTAAATTTGATTTTTTTGTGTCTAATAGTATTTTTAGAGTAGTTTCTAAATATATAAATTTTGTATACTAATACTAAACTTAATATTATGAAAAATTGGATTAAAAATAAATTCAATCAAGCCTCATTAACTGAACCAAACACATAAAATAAAACGGAAAAAGTTTTTTTATTTGTGATCCACACAACCCAGAATACGTTTCCGCCTCTCCATTTCTGCCTGATCCATTCGTCGTCTTCCTACTTCCTAAGTTGCATCCACGGACGATGCATCATTGTGCAACAACAATACTATTATAGTACAACAATGTCGTGTTTTGGATTTTTGTATCTCCGTTCTTGTAATTAAATGAGACCTTAATTTAGATGTTTGATACATAAACACTGAAAATTTGATTGAGAAGAAATTTGAATTATGTTAAAGATTTTGACGATTTTGCCATAATCATGCTTAATTAATTAGGATAGAGAAGTGAAAATTGAATTGCAACTTTGGTAATCAAAGAAATTTGGAGGAGGAAGTTGTAAAATTAATGGAGGAAGGAAGAATCTTGCCCTCTTCAGTGGAGGTGCGTGATTTGGGGAAAAAATTGATGAGTTCATTTCAAGCAAGATAGAAAGAGGTGTGAAGGAATGTGGACTTAATTGCATATACTCTTTTTTATTTCTTAAGCTGCTAGGTCAAAAATAGATATTGGACCCTCTAAAATTGAGGCCCTGTGCTATTGTGCATTAAGCAAATTTTACAGTGGACCATGGTCCATGTAGTAATGTGGTCCATAAAGTAAGTATCATTATAATTACACTTTAGTTTCATTTGATAATATTGCTCTATTTTTCAGTTTCTTTTTTCACATCACTAGTTTCATTATAGCAATATCAAAGTATCATTTTAATTCTACTATAGTCGTTTCATTTGACAATATACATTATTGCATGAACTCTATTTTGTTGTTTTATTTTCCACACACTAGTTTAATTATAATAATGCTAAAGTATTGTTTTAATTACACTCCACATTCATTTGACAATATATGTTATTGTATGGTTCTGAATTTTAGTTTCATTTTCCACAGAAACTAGTTTCATTTTCCATAGACACTAGTTTCATTTTAACAACATTAAGTATCATTTTAATTATACTACAGTTTCATTTGACAATACATTGTTGAATAAGCTCTGTTTTTTAGTTTCATTTTACAACATGCACTAAAGTATCATTTTAATTCTATTACAGTTTCATTTGACAACCATGGTCCACATAGCACTATGGACCATGGTCCACTGTATAACAACCGTGGGCATTATGCACGGGCCAAAAACCGGTCCTACAGTACAAAATTCAAAGTTTTTCTGCAGTTCCCTATTCGATATCTTTATTTCCTATTCGAAGCCACAATCTTAGGGGATGTTTGGTTGGATAAAAAAGTTTTTCCATTCAAAATATTTCCCTCAGTGGATGAAAATGTTGTTTTTTGGTGTTTGGTTCATTGAATTCTTTTCCATTGAAAAATGAATTCTTCACATTTGAGGAAAACAAAATCCTTGGTAGGACGCGGGATTTTGTTTTCCATGGCTTGACAATTTTACCCTTGTTGTTCTTTTTTTTTTTTTTTTGTCAGACCACGAGGTGTTGTTATTACTTTTATTATTTTGTAGGGGCATATAGGTCTTTATACTCGCTATTTTTTACAATTTCAAATCCAACCAAATAATAGAATCAATATTCCCAATAATTTTTTTCCACCAACTAGACAATGAAATTTATCTTCAAGTTAATTCCACCAGAGGTCCCTTATCTTTTGTGGCAATTCCAAATTTAGTCCCAAACTATCATTTTTGCCATTTAATATCCAAGACTATTACTTTTTGGACACTTTTAGTCCTTCTCATGACTTTTCCTATTTTTAGTAAGGGCATTTTGGTCTCTTCATATTTTTCTTTTGTTCTTTTTCATGTTTCAACTGATTGAATTGGTTTAGGACTTTACTAAAAATCAGTTAAAAAATATGATTACTAAAAATCAGAGGTTACCTAAAGTTCTAAACCAATTAAACCGGTTTGCGGGGTGAGGGGGGCAAGTGCCCCCCTCCTCAATTGTTTGTGATCTTTGGATTAGATTGCAAGTGTATTGAGCTATGTTTGCTTTTGTTAATTTCAGTTTCAATTCTTTGATTGATTCCTGTTGGACCCTGAAACAACGTCGACCAAAGCATGCAAGCATGAAACAAACAAAAAGAAGATACTTGAAAATGTCTGTAATGTGTTTGTAAAACACTTCTTTAAAAGCGATTTTCCGGTGACGGTGCAATCAGAATTTTCAACACGCTTTCGATTGGCAACACAGACCTGCTACGCTTAGATCCACCGACTATAGTGTAGGCGAACCTGACGTTGCTCAGACAATAGGACAAAAGAATTGAAGAAGATGAAGAGATTCTTAGTGTATTTTTTCCCACTAATGATCACTGTTTATATAGCAAGCCAGCCAACGACAAGCTTCATTTTCAGCCACATATGAGAGCTGCAGGAATAGGAATGTGAAACAAAGAGGATTACACGTTCCATGATCTCATTAATGTGGGGACAAGATAAGCTGTAATGATCCTAAAAAATAGGCTAAGGATAGAAGACTTTTAATTTGAATGACTTCCCAACAACCCCCCACACATTCAAAGTAGAAGACTAGAAAGAATAATGTTTGAGCAATACAAATGAGTTGATCTTAATGTAGTGTTTGAGAACTTGAACTCATAGGTTAGATAAATTTTGAACTCTAATACACACATCAACTCTAAATTACAAGTTCTATGAAAGTCACACTCTTTGACTTCTTATGAGAAACCCTTAGTATTCAAGTTTGTTGTGTTTATCTCAATATAGATCGACTTTTAACCTTCTCCAGTCTATTTCAATATAGACTTTTAGCTCTGTCGAGTCTATTTTAATATAGACTTTTATGTTTGTCAGGTCTATCTCAACATAGACTTTTATGTTTGTCAAGTCTAGCTCAATATAGACTTGTATTTCTGTCAAGTCTATCTTAATATAGACTTTTATGTCTGTCAAGTCTATCTCAATATAGACCAACTTTAAAGGCTAAAAAGTAGTTAAAGGCATAAATCTAGTGTAAGCCTTCTCATGATTTAGTTTGACCACAGAAGTGGTATCCGTCATGAATTCCTTACCTCAATGGTCTTAACCAGATCTCCCTTGATGTTTCGAGGATGGTCTTCCGAGATTAGACCTTTTATGGGAGGATCTGCAATATTCATCTCAAATTTTGCATACTTGATAGTGATTACTTTGTCAGCAATCAACTGCCTACAGACTCATGTCTGACTCTTATGTGTATTCTTTTCCCATTGTAGACACCATTCTTTGCAACTCAAATGGCAAGGTGGATAACAATGTATAGACACTGAAGGTGTTGGACACCCCCACAACTACACGTTTACCAACATATTTCTTAAGCACGCACCTTCTTGGCTTGCTAGATCAAGTGCTATAAATTATATTTCCATAGTTGATCTAGCTATGCAAGATGTTTGGTCGATTTTCACGAAGTGGTTGCATCACACATTGTGAGCACATATCCACAGGTGGTTTTGACATTATTAACGTCATTGACCCAGTTTGCATCACATTACCCTTCCATGGTTGCTGGAATCCTGCATAGCCAAGACCTCAACCCATGGTTCCTTTTAGGTACCCAAGCATTCAGATTAGTGCATTTTAGTGTGTTTCACTTTGATTGTGGGTTGTGATTGAGCTAGTTTATTCACTACAAGTGCAATATATGGTCTAGGGTAGTTCATTAAAAACATCACTCTTCTATGATTTTAGAATACTCTCCTCCTGTAACTTATCCTTAAGTGTACACCATAACTATAGAGAGTGTTATTAGCACGACTATCATATATTTTAGCCCAATTGAACATCCGGATGCTCGTGAGTGTTCTAGAAAGATAGTCCATTATCTTTCATAAAAGGTGGCTAACCCTTTTCACTCAAGTAGGTGATTTCGTTATGTCTATCTCAATGTAGACTACCCAATTTAGGTATGAAATCATTAAGAGCAATTTACGCTCACCATCTCAAATGTTAAGTTGTGAATCCATTAAGTCAGTCTCAATAGGACCACCCGTCTTATAGGGTGAATCCATTAAGTGGTGAATTCATTAAGAACTGTAGCTCAACCGTACAAGGACACACATCACAAGAATGACTAATAAGTGTATTACTTTGTGATTCCTTTTATGGCTTCATTTGACCACAAAAGTAGGATCCACCATGAATTCATCACCTCTTGACTTTAGGTCATTCCATCAATAACTCAATGACTAATCTTCATAATTAGTCTTCTATTAGAGTAAGTTTATCATTTTGATCAAAGCTTAATTACATACACTTTGATGAGTACTCCATTTACTCACT